CCAGGTTTCTTTGGAGTGTTTGGGAGTTTTCCACATTAGTCCACATGACATCAGGGACAGGCCGCAATGGTGGGAATGACAGGCTAAAGAGATCTGCATCAATGACAAGCCACACTGACAACAGCAACGGTAATGATAAGATAGTTTGGACCAGGTATGTGTTGCGGGTCCCTTCCCTTTTCCATCCTCCAAAAAAACAAGTTATATAATAGATGCCACCCAACTCCCAGAGATTTTATACCCCGCCCCGACTCCCAAAGAATTAATCTTTTCTGGACCAAGCCACCTGGGTTTCCCGACAGTGATGCTGCGATGCTTTGTGTTTTCCATTGTTTCCGATGCTGCTTCCCTGAACCCTGGGGACAGATGTTTTTCGCGTTCGGAATGCAGGAAGACATTCAGCCAGCACCTTCCAGGAGTTAGATCAACGGAAGTCCCGAAAGCGTCCATGGTGGATTTCCAGACATTGCCAAATGATCCATAGGATCTATAGGATCCATAGGGCAGCACATATGATCAACATTCACCACCAACAACCACCAAGTGTAGGCCGTATTTGCTGCAAAAAAGAGAACTTAGGAAATCCTCAGGGTGTTGGCCCCAAAAACAACTCCTCCGAGGTGGAGGAGCAGAACTTCTTCAGGGAGGCTTTCGACTTCCTAGGCCCAGAGATCGCACGCGGTTTCGGAGAGTCTCCCACGTCCGTGTTCAATCGGAAAAAGGTCCAGGGTGACCATGAACTCCAAGTGCGGTGAGGACTGCATAAAGCAGGGGGGCGTTGGCTAGGATAGTTTTGGTCACCTGAGAATCATTCTTTTGGCTTTGACCATGTTGTGACAAAAACCAAACAAACTGGCTAGGAATGTGGTGGTCCACAGAATTGTGGCTCAAATGTGCTTTCCTGCTGTATCCTGCTGTGCTGTCTGGTGTGCAGTAACATGACCAGTTTCTCCGAACATGTTTGAACCGTCGTATGGACCTACGATATCCGACGATGCATGCGTCACTGAGGTATTGCGTTTAGCACAAACCCTCGCAAACCGCCAACCTTTCCAGCTCCTACGACCACCTGTTTCAGCTCAAACCTGGTCAAACCTGGCACCTGGATGAAATGCACCAGCGATGAAGCCCTCTGTGATGGGTGACCAAGCAAAAGCTCCATGAAACTCCATGAAACTCCCACAAAAGTATACAAGAGTTCATGAGCCTCGATCGTAAGATCTTATAGTATGATTATATGATCTTTAACATCTATAGCACAAGCTCGGCTTTGTGATCCTGTGATCACCTTGGAACCCCGAGACACCCTGGCCTTCATCAAGCCCTACGCCCACCCTAGACACCCTACAACACCGGAGGTTGCCTACGCGCTCATTTGGAAGCTGGTCATGTCGCGGAGTCCTTGGCAGCCTTGAGACCTTTCGAGCGTTCAGCTTCGGAGTCGTTGGATGCCGCGGGTCGACCGAAGCTGCAAGTGGCATGGCATGGAGATGCGGGAGGAGCTGCTTTTCCGGGTGAGGGAAGGAAGGGGAAAGGGAGGATGCGAAGGTGGCATGATTGAAAGAGGTATGTGGTTTGTGTTGAAGGGATGAAGCTGGCAGTTCTGGGTTGCACGAGAACAATGGATATGGAATGATATGGACGGTTTCTGAGCTGTGTTTTGGATACTTTTGGATCATGTTTTGGTTTGAGTAGTTTGAGTGAAGCTGTGGTGTTCCTTCCAAGTTTGTGTTAGGCATTTGATTCCAAACCTTGACCTGGGAAGAGGTTACACGGTTGCCAGTTGCCAAAGTCTTTTTCCGTAAGGGTTGCAGGTTCCGTCTTTTGCAAAGCCACCTCGCAAGCACAGAAACTTTGGACGAAATGTCCGTTTACCTGGAAGTGGCAAAAGAGCCTATGTACATCCCGGATCCATTGTTACAATGTTGTACGGACCTTTGATTAATTGCATAGCTGGTTCAGAACGACTCCATGATGAATCCCCTCCAAAAAAAGGCCACCGGAAAAGGACCGCGACCGCTCGCTCCTCCAGTGGGTCATGGGTGCGGAGGAAAGGAGCCTCAAAGAGGACGATCGATTGAGAGTGCAGGAAGATGTGTTAATTTTACTGACTAGCGCGACTCGCAAGGAATCAGGGTGCCTGGATCCTAAGATATCTATAATTGGGGGATCATTCCTTCATTCCCTGCAAGTCGCTCCAGCCTGTTTACGAGGAAATCGGGAACTTGTGGCAACCCAACTATGGCAACAGCATGGAACAACGACAGATCGATCTTCGCCATGTGAAGATGCAAATCACATGAAAAGATTGAAAAGCAACTCGATGTGGGTATTCCTGAAAGACTTCGTGCAATAGGTTCATTCCTTGATGGACAATTCGGAGTGTATCTTTTTTCCCCCCAAGTCAATGCCTTGCACAACTGAGGCGCTGGCCAAGCAACTCCAGGAACGCTTCATCTCAATGGGCTTCATCTCAGCGCCTGACTCGAGCACCGCTGCTGGCAGTCCTCAGGTGCCGGGGGCGGGTGAAGGCTGAAGGCGGCCCAGGGCGACGGATGAAGAACGCATGGAAACGGTTTAGAAGAAGAAGCCAGAGCGGTGCACGTGAAATTCAGATGTTGTAGCATCTATGTGTAGGTGATGGGTGTTTTAGAGTTGTATGAGTCATAAGTAGGTAAGTTTGAACCGAAACCATCGATGTCATTCAATTTCTGAAAGCCGATCGCCCTTTTTGGTACCAGCACTCTGGCTGCCTGGCTCACTGGTTTGTAATGCAGACTTCCCAACCCATGTGGATTGAAAAAGCATGACAAACCTCTTCAGATGGGTGGGGTCAGTTGATCAAGAGTCTACTAACTTAGGAGTTTCGGGGGTGCGTGTTCGGTGTTCTTGGGAAGTGTGGGTGTTTTTGTGAACTTGCGAGTCCATCTCAGCCGCAGTTGGCAGGAGTGCACCAGGCATGAATCAGCAAAACGATGCCATATCGTGGAAGATTCGATGCCATATCAAGTACTTCTTTTGGAGCGATGAACATCGAATGTGATGAACATCGTTTGTTCCATCGGAGGTAAGTCAAAACTCAGCAACTCAACTCGCCATACCAGGAGTCACAAGACGGGGTACTGTACCTATTGGAGGATAGGGGTGCCCAAGTGGGTGCCCAGAACATCCACTCACTGGATGGGACTAAACACCACCCAACTCCATGTGACTCCTGGTAGATCACCAAGAATCACCCAAAGCATCATGACATTGGAGGAGACGTCCTGTGTATTTGAGGGACACGTCCTGCTACACCTGCAACCGAAGCTGTCTAGTCCAGTCCTGCAGTGTAGCGAATCCACCTGGTCAAACGAAACGAAGAGCAAACGCATTAGTTTGTGAACCATTGAACCATGACGGGCGCGGCACTTTTTTCGCGGCATATCCTTAATGATCCTTCTATTATATGTGATCATGTATGTAATACGTTTGACGTTTGATAGAAAATACTTAATTAATACGTATGATACTCCACCGCTAGAGGTCCACTGTCGGAGGCCAGGGGGGAGGCCCTGGACCGGGGCACATCGCCCGTGGAGTCTGCAGGCAGATGAGGCGTTTGACTCGTTGGACTGAAAAAGAAAAAGGATCCACGTGCGTCTTGTAGGTCGGTGTGGTGTGACATCCTGGGTGGGCAAAGCTTGAACCGAAGATGGTGGATGTTGTTGTGTTTGTATTTTTTTCCCCGGACCTGGTGGATCTCCCTGGACCTGGGGGAAGAGGTTTTTAGAGCTTTTCCCGGTTCCTTGTGCAACTCCAGGTTGGTTTGGGAGACCCTTTTGTTCAGCTTGTCACAATGTCCAGTAGGGCCCATCAAAGAGAGATGTGGAAGGGTAGGGCATGGGAGTTTCTTTGGGCGGTGAATTACTTTGGAGTCTACACATGTCTTTACCCTTCAACAGCTTATAGAGAGTCTTATGGAGTGTAGACGTCAAGTGGAGCCACCTCTGGGATGCCTTTGATCACCCCCCTTAGCGAATAAGTGCAGGCATGTGGGAGTGTTTTGCTCATCTTTTGCTATAGCAGTATGCAAAAAAAACAGGCACCTGTCAGTTCCAACTTTCAGCCACTTCAAGTGGAGCCCTGTCAGTGTCTGGATTGGGTGACCTTGGTCTTCACATCTTGGGGAGGAACACCACCTCGTTGGTGGTGGATGCCTGTTCACCACCCGTTCTGCTCGTGAACCTGAGACTTCGTCCCGTGAACCGATGCCGTACGAGAACACACACCGTACGGGGTTCTGTCGGTGCCTGGCAAAGAACTGGTGGGACGGTTGGTGGGACGGTTTGTACAAGTCTTTCTTCGGAAAGCGGTTTTGGCCTTGGCTCGAAATCTCTTTCTTTACATGAATTACAGTATAAATGAAAGGTGATGCGGGTGTTCTTTCTCCATGACAGAGTCTCTTCAGAGGTATGTTTTGTGCTTAAGGGTTTCTCAAAACTTTTTTGCTGTGGAAACACATCGCGTTGCAGACCTCCTTGCAGACCTCCTTACCCCTTCCTCGTCTTGTCCGTAGTTTGTATGTTTATTCCCTTTCTCTTCATGTTGTTCTCCTTTTCTTTCGCCCAACGGAGTCAATGAAGGGGAAGGTCAACAGGTCGTGTGAGACGGTTCGTTGATGCACACGTCCAACAGCCCGAAAGGTTCGCCCCGTGGTGCAGTGCGTCTCACCTTCTCACCTCACTTTGCTCGTTGGTCTGTTGGTCACCATGACATACGATGGCATACCATCACCTGGGTGTGCTTAATCAGTGTGGGTTGTTTGTTTTTCCGAACTTCCGACGTGGGTGAACCCGTTTCACCCCCTTCTGGAGTTCTGGAGAAGATGTCTTTGTTTGGTTCCTCCAGCAAATCCAAGCTTGCTACAGCTTGCTCACGTTCCACTTGTGGGACCCAGGGACCACCTCCAGACCAGGCCACCTCAGACCAGGCCACCACCCACCTCTCAGTGCCACCAGGTTCTGGTGCCGCTACGCGGTGGTTCGGGAGCTGCCGGGTGGTCCCAGCAGTTCGGCCCCGGTGGACTCGGTGGACAAGTCCCGGCACCTGGAGCCCTTTTTGGGGTGACCCGGTGGGTGGACCATGTCTGGTAGTCTATTTCTGTTCAACACAGGGTTCCCTTGATCCTTGAATATCCATGGTCAACCAGGGTCAGTGGTTTTTTTTTTACCAGCCATGTCATGGTCAAGCTGGGTGTTCATGTTTTATTGAGTTCATCTTCCGTGGGAAAATAACAGGCTTCGTTAGACTCGGTGGATCCTTGGAGTTTGTGAAGCTGGCGCCCTGCTACCGATGGTAGCAGGGCTGGGGCCCTGGGGTCACAAGAACAAACAGGTTCTGGCAAAGGTCCCTGACTCGACCATCATCACCGAACTAGATGAAGTCCGGAGTCCGGAGGTTTTTTCCTTTCATATGGAACGAGTAAAGAGTATATATAGATGTGTTTCACGGATCGGCAAGCTTGGGAGGGCCTCACGGGGAGGCCTAAGGGCCATCCAGGAAATCCAGGTTACCCCGAAGGGTTGAGGGTACAGTCCCAGGAAGAGCAGGAAGAGTCTTCCAGAGGCAGAACTGTTCCACTTCCATGATTGTTTCAGGGAACCTTTGCGGGAAACTCATCCGGGGGTGAAAGCCATGGTTTCCTCTAGCTGTCCTTGAAGTCCAACCACTGATTTCATATGTCTTTACCCAACAACCAGCGGCTAGCGTTACTATGGATTCTGTTATTATCTTCCAATTTCAACACCTGAACAAAAAGACACCGCTGGTGGATGCAAGTCAACAACTAAAACAACACACTGAGAAGAGAGCTCGTCGGAGCATAAATTAAGTGATGTTCCATCATGCGTTAGCCCTTTACAGTTACTGCAGCTCGACGAACAAATCCTGGTATGTTCACTATACACATACACCCGACTTCCTGCAACCGACTTCTGCCAACGTGGAACTCCGCACCCCTTTGAACACAATCCGGAGGTCCCGTCTTCCCCAAACGACGTCATCGCTCTCGGCGCAGTGGGCGGTCCCGGACCGGCGCGGCGGCGGCGCAGAAGCGACGAGGCGCCGCGATCCCGAGGCCCATGCGCTGCTTCATCTGTCGCCGCGAGGGTGCTGCGCATCTGGAGGAGTTGCCCGGGGCACTCAGAATGGTTCCCGATGAGTTCGGGGGTTGGGAGCGGGGGCCACGGGTCGTGTGGGGCGGGGAGGGGTGCAGGTGGATGGGGGAACAGGGTGATGAGGTGACATCAGGGAGAAACAGCCCAAAAGGTCCATCTTTCTTTGTGGATTGCTTGGGGTATGCAACCGAAACTGGAAACCCTGTAGGTGGAGTAGCAGCTAGGCACACAGTCCTCAACTAGATAGGAGCGCATTCCAGTGGAGAGAGGGATCACTATTAACAAAACAGATGGAAGATAAGGCACGCATCATCTCACATAGCAAAAGCCTTGGATAGCCTTGGTATTTGCTGTGCGTTGGTCGTTCCAGGTGGTCTAGGATGTCTTCGGTCTTAATGGTGTTTATGTACTGACATCGAGCAAATGGCTGTTATTTTTGACTTTCTTCACAATTTGTGTAACATTTGCGGCGGGGCGTTGCGGAGAGAGAGGGTCACGTTGCGGAGACTTGACTCCTCGAAAGGTTGGTTTCAAGTTGAAAGTCTTGCCTATTCAATGACCTGCGACCTGCGAATCTCTAGACTCTAAAGACTGCAAATAGTGAGATGTGTGTTACTTGGCAACTAGCGGTTCATATTCTACACCAGTTCTCCTTGATGACTTCAATAGCAAATCCATGCAAATCCCTTTCCGATTTATTCCCAAACGCGGCTCTTGCCTCTCCTCCATTGCTTCCTTCTGATATATGTGATCAATAGTTGTCCTTTCCACTCCCTTTTTGCTTTCTGTTTGGATTGATTGGAATTTTCTTTCCAACACAACGTGAACAACAATTGAAATCAGTCGTTTGGCCTTCCATTGACCAGAAAGAAGCCAAACAGGATCTTCGAGCCTTGCGCAATGCCAATTTCCATAAGGATGGTCAGATGGTCCGGGTCCATCGTGAGTGTTCGGTGGCCAGCGTTTCCTCTGGAATACACTTGCACCAAGCACGTAAATTCAGTCTCACATGTTTTGTTGATTTTGTTGTTTGCAAAGTAGTGCTTCGATCCCAAGGGTGACTGGAATGAATAAAGCGGCACCAATCAATGGAATCAATGAATGAATTCGAGCAGATTGACCAATATACCCGGCCTGAACCCTCACACGCTCATGATTGCCGAATCCACTACTGAAGGATGTCCGCGAGTAGATGCCTAGCCCTCACGTGAAGCATGAAAGCCAAGATCGGCCAAGATGGCTGTATATATATATATATACAGAAGGGGTGGCCATGGGGCCTCATGACCACCCGCTCTCTCTCTCTCTATATATATATACCATATGACTGCAAGATCTTTATAGCTGAAATATATACTATATGACTATATCTTGCATATCCTTTCCAAAAGCCCTTTCTTTAGCAGTCGCACATAGATTTGAAAGCGCGGAGCAAGAATGAATACAGGCGACCCGTGATGCAGCTGCCTTGCCGGGGTTGGGTTTCTTCTGTGGCACACAGAGCAGACTTGTGACACCCCATGTTGGAGATATTCTATCGCAATGGACTCTAGGGCTGCCCGTAATGGAGCTGCTTGGATCTTGAAGGTAGCCCCCCAGCCACTTTGGAGAAGAATCTCCCAGCACGATCTTCGAAATTAGTGGGCGCGTAACCCCAAAAACGCGCATGAGCTATCAAGCTCTGATTTCGCTGGTGTGTCTCGCGGCCACGCTGGATATCCTTCAGGTTGGTGAACGCAGTATCAGGCATTTTGCACGACGTCAGTGAACCCAACCATCGATTCTGGACTCTGCCAGGGTGGGCGAACGCGCGCCCATTCCCAGCACAGTGCATGGTCTATCGCCGGACTGCTCAGCTCTGAAGCATTCTGAAACTGTTGTCACAGGCCTTGGGGTGGAAAACGGGTGGATTCAATAAATAAGGTCACAGGAAGAGGTGACCGACCCCTTCCCCATGTTCCCCCAAAGAATCTGTATATGTTACATGTTTATATCGGCTTTTGGCGACACTTACTGCCTTACGTTTGAGAGAACGGGATGTTCTCTATGTTTTGCCAGGCGGTATTTGTTTGGTTTCGTTGTGGGATCGGTCTTAAGTCAACTACTATATTACAAACCACGACGGCCGGCACTGCATGCCATTTCCAGCGGTCTGTGCGCGGAAGAAAGGGTTGTCAATTTGCACACCATGTGCGATCATTTTTTTTTGAGGACATTGGGAACAAAGTGGAAGTGAAAGGAATCAAAAACGTTCGCTGGGGATGTTGCATTGTTTGCACTTGTTGCATTCTAACTACCTGACTCCTCAGTTTCCATGGAAAATGCACATTAACCTGTTTCCACCTGATTTTTGGTGGGATATCCCCAATTCCCCCCAAAAAGGTTGGGCAGGTTGTCGACTGACCACAACATACCACAACAGGCAACACTGTTTCACCAGTAAGAGATTAGTCGTGGTTGGTCAATAAAGGGCTTGGTACTTGTTCAAGACTTTGACCATGTTTGACAGATTGAGTTGATTCAAGGTCCAGCCTCTAAGGCCTTCAAAAGGCGAACATGACTTTTTGGGGATGTCAACAAACATCTTTTGGTTAATGCCCGTGCAGCACTCAGACCGCAGGTTGTTTGGTTGCACTACCGCGTGATGTATTGACTGGTTGATTTGGTTCAAAGGAATTTCAGTTTGTTTCATCCCCGTTTGGACATGGTTCAATTGAATCCATCAGGGCGCGGGACTTCGCAGAGTAGTTGATGTGTTCAGTTCTTTTTTCACAGGGGGAAACCGAAGAAAATGGGTCCGTGAATGTCGAGTTCACCACCTGTTTGGTATTAGTCCTGAGTTCCTGGTCCTTAAGTCCTTCCACAGGCCATGCCATCCAAGGACTTGGCTCAAGGAGTACTCCTTCGTGGTGGAGCTATGCCCCTCCCGCTCAGACCGGGGCGGGAACGGATTCACCACAGTCGTTGGCCACCTCAAAGCAGTACACCCACCAGACCATCTAAGGGGTACCCTTCCTGGCTGGAGTTGTCCCTACCACCACTGGTGAATGTCTAGTGCACACCCCTTGGATGGTCCAGGCAGGATTTGTTCGTACTGCTTTCGAACTCAAAAATTGTCCGAACCCATGTAGATGGCCACACAACTGATACAGTATCCCCTGCACATGATCGATCCTTTCGTTTGTTTTAGGCCAGTGGTCATGGTGCTAGTGACTGCTAGTGTGAGTACCCATCACCTTAGGACCCACAGTCAGGTGACATGTGGCATCTGGCTGTGGATCATGGCACCCGGAGCTTGTTTTCACGCTGGTAGGTTGACCATGTCTAGTAGTCTCTGTCTGTTACATGTTCGGTGGTCCAGAACAGTAGCCTCTTTGAACTCGACCCACAGCCATGTATCACACCACCCACCAGTCTCCACAATCCACTGCACCCACCGCTTCTTCAATCCACTGCACCGGATCCCTCCCTCCTTCCGCCCAGAGCGAGCGGTCCTCGTGGGGGTCCTCGCCGATCGGTTTGAGGTGGAACTCTGTGCATTTTGGAGCGCATCTCGTTGAAGGCGCCACGGGGACCGGGGGCTCGGGAGGCTGACCGGACTGGACTTCGGTTGAACACGTAAAAAGAAACCTTGAGAGAAAGGGTGCATTCACCTGGAAGTGCTCTTAGGTTGTAGGCGATATTGATCTATAACACACACACCGTTGTACTGTCTCTTCATTTGGGGGAGGTTTATTACATAAAACGTCTAGATAATGGTCCTCTTGGAGGGTGTTCCATGCGGGTGCGAACATTGTGGTCATGTTACGTCACGTTTGCTGTTGATCTCCAGATCCTGTAGCACTCCACTCCACCCTCTTCCGAGGGTCGAGTCATCCCTTTGGGGGTTGTCATCCCTTTGGGTTTGGAGTTTTCTTCATTACTCCTGAATCAAGAGACATGTGTTGCTGTCAAAAAGCCCCTATCGGCTGACAAAAGATTACAAAAGCGTGTGTCTGTTTCTCTCCAACAGTGCCAGAGTAGGATGGATGAGAAGAAGCTTAAAAACAGGGTCCCACTGTAAGTTTTGTCGCAGGCTGCGTAGGAGGTTCCGGGAAACTTTTGTTTGTACAGGAAGAGCCTTGTCACTTGTTCAGTTCTACGTGCATGACCAAGTTTGGGAGGCTTCTCCATGGCTTTGCAGCAATCTGTTGCAATGGAGTCCAGCAATAGATGGGAATCCATCTCATTTCTTGTGACTGCTGTACATCTCTGGTTGGATTCCTTCACGTTCATCACACGGCGTGCCGATCGGAGCACTCACAGGAGTGGTGTGCTCTAAAATGGCCATCATGCATCTCTTGGAACATCAAAAGAGTTTCACCCTCCCCGACTGCACCAAGAAACACTACTTTCAAGCATCACTGGAGGCCATGGCCAGCCCAGCTTAGATGAACACTTGGCTTATGTCGGGCAGAAGGAGGGTTTTCCCGAGTCCCACGTCCGTCAGACACCGAGCTGGGGTCTGCGGTTTGGTGTTATCCCGCGCGTGCCCAGGAGTGGCAACAAGTTCTGGCGGAACAACAGCAGGGCAGGACCGGGAGCCTTCCGCACGTTCGACCTCGCGGCTCGACCTGCGCGGGTCCGGTCGACTTGGGGGGGACCTTGGAATCGGTCGAAACACAAGACCGCTGATGGTTTGGTGGGAGGGGAGTCATTCTGCTGAGAAGGTGTTCCTATAAGTGGTCGCCCCCCTGATGGTGATTTCAAGTGCAGTGGTTTTTGGGGCGTGTATATTGAATTGAAATTTGTGGAGATCTTCCAAAGACCCTGTGTGTAAAGAAGAAACAAAAAGATTGTGTATCGACTAAAACACGGTGGTTTGAGGGTCTCCTCTCCCCAACAAAGGAATGCACCCATTAATTTGTTGCCGTTTTGGCGCTTGGCATTCAATTACACGCTTAAAACAAATGCAATCTGAATCTCCAAAGCACTTTCCTTTGTGTCTTCAAGTGGTTGCCCAAGCCGAAACCAACCACAACTAAGTCGCAAGTACCAGTCAATCCCGAATTCTGAATTGCTTACTCTGAGTCCTTTCAGAGAGCGGCTGCCACCCGAGTCACCAGAGTCCCAAAGCTACTCGCGCAGACATGCGCAGACCGCGCTCGCACAGACCGCGCTCGCGCGAGCTTCGACCGAGCTTCGGCGTGGCAGGAAGTTCACGTTCGTGTCCTTCGGTCTTTTCGACACTGGGCTCAATGGTCGGATGTGTAGAGGAAAGGTTCGAACGGTCCGTCCACGCCAGAACGGTCGTGTGCGGGCTAGAGCCGGTTCTAGATGCTTGCATTTGGAAGCGATGATCCTTGGCCAAGACATCAGCACTTAAGACAGTGGCACAAGAGTCAGAAAACCGAAATTTTGTGGGTTGTCTTCAACTATAATATACATTACAAGACTATCATGTATCACGACGTATCACGACCCATCACGGTAATCACTATCCATTGTTTTTCTGCAGTCTCCGCGAGCTGAGGACAAGACCACCCCCAACATGTGGCACTTCTGTGAAGACTTCGAGGCGCGATCCTCATGGCTGGGCGCCATTGAGAGAAGTCGAGTAGCTGATCAAAAACAGCGATGTGAGACCTCCCAGGCAATGACGCCCTGGAAGAAATGAAATAGACCGGTCAGTCTACCCATTGGCTGGGGGTTTTCTTATATTAAATTAATACACACCATAATAGAGAGAAACAGCGATCTGATCACGATGCGATCTGGCAGACTAGAACAAGGTGTCTACGCATTCGCCAAAGCGGATGTGGCATTTGGCTTTGGCGTGAAGTTCCAAAGATGGAGAGCTACAATATTCTACAATAAATTCAAGGGGCATCTGATTTGGCCAATGACAAAAGTTGAAGCTTTATAGATCTTCACCAGCATCGGCACTACCAGCAGAAGGATCCACCACTTGAGACGAAGCGAACCTGTTCGGTCCGTCACTGTGGGGTCGACGTCACTGAAGAAACCTTCGTCGTCTCGGTGCTCAACGGTCTCGGAACGTCAACGGTGCCGAGAAAGAACGACGACGCAGACGGACGGACATGGAGGGCCTGGGTGGTTTTTGGTTCGTCCCAGGGGCCGTGGATGTGACTCAGGAGCACCCCTATCCTTCCTTCCTTCCTCCGTTAGCTCGGCATCCCTTATTGTGACTCCTGATGACTCCTGGTACATACCCCAGACACGACCCATGGGACTGTCATATATTTACCGATCAGTTTGTCAATGTCGGCATGGAGTGTCAGGGTAGTACATGCATTTTATGTTTCGATCTGGGTACCGCCAAACTGTTCCCAGGTCTTTACGACTGAAGACCCCATGACGCCCGCCCCGCTGGGGACAAATAGCTGAAATCGTAGTGGAAAGGGGTCTTGAGAGACGGGTTCACTCCCCCCCACCAGATGAACATGGGGTTCCCCCCAAACCACCTGGGACCGGAGCCACGGGTTGCGACCGCCAAGGGTTCCGAAGGGCCAGATCGCCGGCCGAAGGGTATTGATCTTCAGCAAAACCCTGCATGGGTGGACTCACACATGGGTGGCTAAACTAAGAAGTGCTAGTGAAAGATTGATCTATTGTCGATCTGAACCCTAAACCTTTTGATTTGAAGGATCCTTTTTGTCATCCCACTTCTTGGGTCATCCCGACTGAGAGACGACTGACGCTCGACAACGCTCCACGGACTCAGGGTCCACCGCGAGTCTTACGTCTTCGGTCTTCGGCGGTGCAGGTCCCCAAGATTGCCGGTGTGGAAGTCCAGGCGACGCACGGACGGTTCCCATCTCATGCCGGTTCCCGCTGAAACGTTATGATCGAAACGCGGGATGTACGTGGCATATGTGACGTACGTGGCATAACCGCGGGACGTGAAGGACCCAATGCTTGATGCAAAAGTTCGTGGCTAAAGGTCATGCAAATGCCATAAAATGCCTGCGATCAAAGAACACATGGACTGTATTCGCAGCTACACTGACCGCATAGGAAAAGAAGAAACGGGGCCCATGAGGATTAGTTGCCCATCAGCAGTTCCTCTAGGGGTATCAAGGTGTTTTTTTGTGCAGCAAAGCGATCTCCTTGGGCTCTCTCCTTTGCAAGACTACATTTGAACAAACCTGCGGGTTCCAGCACCCGGTCCAACTACAGGTCACCACCTCCCACTATTAAAGTCTCCATTTCAGCCTCCACTTCGGAGACCTGTAGAGTCGGGTGCTGGTATAAATGTCCACCGCAAGTGGGACACTTGAAGTAATTATGGATTGAGTTGGGCGTAAGACAGATGCTGTTGGCGCCAGCATAGCAGCTATGGAGGGGGGTCTTTGGTGAGTCTATCTTTGGGTGACAGTGAGATGATCAATCAACAAAGTCATCTATTTTTCGGGATTCTATTTTGGGGATGTCTTTGGGGGTCTTTGTTCAGCTTGGCTTTAAAGTGACTGACATCCCCAAATCTGACCAATTCCAACCCGAATCACAGCAACCTCGCCACGCAACTCGCCCACTACGTCAAGTCATGGCACTCTGGTTGCCAGGTGAAGCCCACCAAAACCCAGGCAGGGGGGGACCGGCAGTGCTGGAAGAGTCGGGACGAGAATTGGGAGACTTGGAGTAGAGAAATGCTCGTGGTTGAGTCATGGGCGGTCTCGAGCCCCCAAAGAAGGTGTTGGACAATGGAAGATGCTTTTTTGCAGAGACGGTTAGATGAAAATTGACGAACAGTTCGATGAAAACGCCCTCCGAGATGAAGCGGTAGAGGATTTACAATCCGAAGGGAAGGGTTTATGAATCAACAGTCTACATGTCTAAAAGGAAGCGGGGGGGCTTTGTGTCTTATTGTTTGAGCCACATCCCAAAGGAACATTAGCACCACCATGAGAGCTGAGCAAGGTACATAATTCCTGGGTTTCCTTACTAAAGTTGTTTGTTCCTATCGGTGAATCACCTTCTGTGGAATATGCTTGCTGGGCTCTCTATTCAAAAACAAGTATTCGATTGGCGGCTGAGTTGATTCTCTTTGACTACATGACACGTTGCCGGCAGCAAGGCCGTAGAACTGATGGCCATCATTAGTGAGGATGGTTAGGGGTGTTATTTATGCGCTACCAAGATGTAGCGCCTACCACACGAAACCCTGCAGTCCCCATTCCTTTCCATTCCATTCTCCTGTCGGGCCTGCGAGTCCACACTGCGCCAGACCACGCAAGTCCAAAACTATTGAGCACCGAGCACCGCCGGTGTGAAGGAGGCAGGCGCGGACGCCTGGCGGCTTGTTGAGTTGAGTTTCCGGCAGCCATAGAAACCATGAAAAAAGGTTTTATGCCATACCGGCAGCCATACATGGAGAGTTTATGGATGTTTGCTTTCCAGACCATGCCGGGACTTGATCGTCCGGGACGTGGAGGCTCTTGATGAATGAACCTATATATACACATATTATAAAACCATAAAACCGTGATGAGGTTTTTCAATCCAAGGTTATATATATAATCAAGAGTCCAGAGTCTATATTAGGCATTTACCTTCCAGGATCCTATCCAGGCTTGCAGCCAGAATACGACCGGCCTTCTTTTGTCGCGTCGAACCGTTGCGGCTAAAACCCCAAAAGGATGTTTCACCCCTCGTCTCCCGTGCAAGGATGTTTCACCTGAAGAAGGCTTATAAAATGGTGCAAAGCATTTTTCCACTTCCAAATCGATGCCAGAAGCAACTCCGGCGAAAAGCAACTCATAGCCACTCTCGCAGCCGTTTGGTTCATTGCCCGCCGTTTTTGTGGCATTTTGTTTGCGAAGTGACTGGCAACATGTCCATTCGCCACTGGGACGGTTTTGTTGGCGCGAGCGAATCGCTGGATCGCGCGAGGGTGCGCGAGGTCTCTCTATACTCTCCCTAAAAGAGAGTCCTCGTGGAGGTGGGCGTTCTGGCCCAGGACAGAAGACCATGTTCCTCTAAGAGATACCAACAGGGTGTTGTCGCCATGAGCTTTCGCAGGGTTTGTTCTCGTCAGCCAAGTGGGCGACGTGAAGTGTGGACGGTCGACCGGTGGACTGAACAGGACGCGACTGGACGCCAGGTCAACCTGCAAGACATGCGCGCCCCATTAAGGTGCCCTTTGCACCCCTTGCCCCAAAACGGATTCTCTGACACTGGACGCCAGCAGATACCACTGAGAGCGGTCTGTTTCACTGTTTTTTTGGCGTGGCTATCATGCCACATGATGTATTGCAAGAACAAACCACGCGCCACACGGACGCGGACACGTTGGGGAAGACTAATATCATATCTAGTGGATCATCGCCTGACAAATTGTCTTAAACCGCATTCTTTCAATGGGAGTTCAGGAAAAACACGATCCGTGTGTTTTTTTCTAGGCAAAGTGTCAGGCAGGGTCATTGGCTCATTTGTTTGGAATTCGGGATTAATATCCTCAGTTATCCTAAATGATCCTAAATGTTTGCACAGAGTCCTGAGAGACCATTCTAGGTCTGGCAGGGGATACAGAATGCATACCTGGATGTTGGAATCAAGGTTTTAAGGCATTGACTACAACTATGATCAGCTTTGCGTTTGTCTCATGTGATGGGAAGACCTTCGCACCAAAAAATGACCATACTTGGGAGGTTTCTCCTCTTTGGAATGTCAATCCCATCCCAAAATGTCAGTCCCGAGGCATGTGGTGATTCCTTCACTCCGAGTTCGTCTTTTCCGCCCGAAGACCATCCATCCCCTCGTAGACCCGTTCTCAACGTGGTGTCTTCCCCCACCTACCACACCCCCTGCAGTGTTTGTTCCCGTGGCTGCCACGGCTGCGGTGGAGAAAAACATCCATCCACACGCTTCACGCCCCGCCCGCTCCTGCCCAAGCCGCGTACTGATCCGCACCGAGTCGCCGTGCACCCGAGGCTTCGTCGCTGCGGCGCTCGTCTCGCTGTCCTTGCGGATCGTAGGTCGGTGCCGTCGCGTCGCACGTGGCGGGACCGAGGTCGCGTGGTGAAAGCACAGGTCTTGACCGTAGCTGTCAAACATGGTCAAACACAGTCAAACATCCCTTTGCACTTCCATGGTGTTTCTGCTTTAGATGAAGATGGAGTCTCCAATGGATCCTTTACCCCTTTCACGAGGCTTCACGATGCTTCAAATCCTCAAACCATCTCACCATCCCACACCTGACTTCAAGTACCCTTGAACATGGGACATGCCCATGCAATGACACAGGTACTTGTAGCCCTTTTTCCAAGCTACGAACAGGTCCACTCCAGCTTGATGCATCTTGCGACCGTTTTCGCAGAAGGGCAAACTTTGGGTTTGTCCTATATAACAACAGTGTCACTAGTATGTCCAAAATAGTGATGTCAACAGCAAACTCCTGTAGCAGTAGTAAACATAGTTAACATTACTATTGTGCGAGACAACCAGGCCCCATCATCATCCACTGTTATGGGTCATGGAATGGACCCAAGGCAAAACTGACTTCTTCTTCCCTGCACACGAGACCTGCGCCCCTGCTGCCCCAAGCAGAACCCTCACGCGCCATGCGACCCGCGCACCGCCGGAATCTGTGCGCTCCAGGGGCTTCTGAGCTGAAGCGTTTCGTGGTTTACTCCGATCCGATTTTCCTCCGCCCTGGTGAAGTCCACAACCGATGCTGGGACTGGGGATTTTGTTGGTACGGCGCGTTGGTTTTGGACAGCGGCCGCTGGGTGGTTCAGCGGGTTCGGTGGTTCGGCGGGTCGGGGAAAACAGGCATGTGACAAGGTGGAGGTGGAGGTGGGTGCTATGGACGAGTCAGAAGAATACATGTTTCTACGATTTTCAGGAATTGCGTGCCCAAAGTTGGCTTCAGGACTTCGGGCCTCAGATGGCTTCAGATGGCTTGGTGTTTCGAAGATGGTTGGAATGTCCAGCCAGGCAGGCGCATCTTCCAGAGCTCGTCCAGTGCTCGAAGTCTGGCCACGTCCAACCCGGAGGTGTGATTATATCCATCTCCTGGAGAGAACCGGAAATGGTTGCTAAGTGCAGTCATTCAACTACCAGGACACCCTAAGGCCCTAAGGGGTGTCTATTGATAGCCCCTTAGAGTTGATTCGGGGTGTCCATTAACCACCCAACTCCAGTGGGTCCTAGTGTATATCTTCGGGAACTCCCGTTTTTAAATCGTTGTTGGTTCCGAACGGAGGAAGTCGTTGGGCGTGCAGAACATCCACTTACACCAGCTGGGACGACTATTTCCCACCACCCCGTCTTGCAACTCCACCCGCTCATGTAGGCTCTGAATTGACCAAAAGCTTTTGCCAAAGCACCCCCATTCCGAAGATATGTGTTTGGGTTCAATCCAACTGGGAGGTCGGAGGTGTGTGTTTCTTTTTCAAAGAGTAGCACCATGAAAGCCAGGGCCAGGCTTTTGTCTTCACTCCAAGGGGTGAAACCCCCCTTGACCCATCCATCTGTGCCTGGCGCTGTCCCAGTGAACTAGGACCCCCTTTTGGAGGTGTCGGCCTGCAACTGAATCATCCACGGGTGATGGAATATATACACCATGTTTGCCTATATAATTACATTGGAGTATTTGGTTTGCTCCACAGATTTATTCCAGTTCGATGTAAGAATTCGACTCGTCACCCTTCTTGGGGCTTGTAACTTGCTCGTCCGTTTCACCCGTGCCGTGGCCCCTCCCCTCCCCTCCCCTCCCCAGTCACTGAGGATATGTCTTGCCCAAGGCTTTGCCGCAAGAGATCGTGCAGCTTGGGCCGAGTTGATCGTCGGATGGAGGCCGAGTTGATCGGCGGTTCGGTGCGGCGGAGCCAGACGATGAAAGGTATGGCGTTTTGTGGTGCTTTCATTGTTTGTTTTGTTGTTTAAGCACTTAATGTGTTGTTTTGTTCATGTGTTCTTTTCTTTTAAGCTCAAAACAAGAGGCTGTAAGGGCCGGTATGATTTCGGTCACGGTCCTTAGCATTTCTTCAGGATGCGAACCACGAATGAACTAAACCGTATACTAAACTAAACCAAAAGACACCCAAGCTCTCCGCATCTATCGCTCGCTCGCTCGTTGGTGGCCCGAAGTCATTCCGCCACGATCGTCGTCAGATCGTGCGACAACGGGACGAAGTGAGCGCGGCGGGACGATCGGAGGTGTTTTGGTCCAATCTCGATCGCGAGCTCATAGATTATAATATTATATAGATGCTTCTGTAGAATGCTGGGGTCTCGATTTCGGTCCGGGGTGACACAAACCATCACAAACCCCAGGGGCATGGGGCCAGAGGTTTAGTGGGCGTGACGGCTGCCAGTCGCCACTGAGGCAGAAGTTCGCAAACAAGACCATGCACATGAAGAGTGCGCAGCTGGACATCGTGTTGGTGAACAATGAGACGGGTGAGACTCTCGATCAGAAGCCTTCCAACTGTCACGAGTCAGGGGCTCAGGTGGTGATGATCCCTGTAACACAAATTACAACTCGGGTGTGTCAGCGTGTCCCAGTAAAACAGTAGCAGTCGGTCAGGCCTTTACCAACCATCGACTGGGCCCTGGTCATGGGATATCACCCAATGCACACGTTCGGAACGGTCGGTCAAACCGCTGGTCAAATCGGTTGGTTCTCCCGGTGCCATGACCCACAGCCAGTTGGGGGTTCGGTGATTCTTCAGGAGACCCACGCACTGTTTTGTTTGCTTGTTTGTTTGTTGTTTGGTTTGTTTGTTGGTTGGTTGGTT